TCTGCAGGATGTAGAGACTAAGTATACTTCTTCCTCTAAACCTTTTTTTATGTCTTGATTTCTAATTTTGAGTAATTTGTTTTCACCATTAATTGGCAGTATGAATTGTTTTGCAACACACACACACACACACACACACACACACACACACACCACACACCACATACACACACCATTTATAACATACCACAAAATGCAGAGTTAAATCACCTGTTTCAGTTACTTTTCTCCTTGTTGTGACTGAAAACAACATAAAGGCAGAAGCAGTGTAAAGAAGGAAGGATTTAATTGGGCCTCCCAGTTTGAGAATACAGTCCATGATGGTGAGGAAGAGATGTGAGCAGCAGCGTGAGGTCACTGGTCATACTGTGTCCATAGTCAGGAAGCAGAGGAAGACGAAGGCTGGTGTTCAGCTTGCTTTTTGTTGTCTCCTGTATTCAGTCTGGGACCCCAGCCTATGGAATGGTGCTCCCTCCACCACATTCTAGGTGGGTTTTCCCTCTCCAGCTAAACCTCTCTAGAAATGCCTTCATGCCTGAGGTGTGTCTTTTAGGTGACTCTAAATGCAGTCAAGTTGATGTTCAAAATTAAGCATCATGCCACCCATAATGGCATGCAGGGGAAAGTCCTGGGATTCTTTCCTAATTTTTAAATATTATTATTAAAATGAAACATTCCTGAGTATACCCCTGTGATTTGTTTTTCTTTCCTCAGAATTCAAAATATATCACCAGCATTGTTCCACAGCACGATAGTCCTCCAGTTTCAATGACAACATACAATTTTGTTGTGTAAATGTAGACAACATCATGACATTCTGAGTTCCTATGGTATACAGTTGTCCTTTGGTATTGGAAGGAAATTTGTTGTTCGAATCTTAGATGGTCTTTTAATAATAATTTAAAAAAAAAAAAATAACCCGAGCCAGATACCAGGGTGAAAGCTGAAAGATCAGAGAAGCAGAACAGCCAGCCACTAGTTCTTACCTCTACGAAATCCTCAGCCTAAAGAGAGTGAGTTCCTGTTTCCTCATGTCTTATATACCTTTCTCTGCCCAGCATCACTTCCTGGGATTAAAGGCATGTGTGCTTCCCAGTTCTGGGATTAAAGGTGTGTGCCACCACTGCCTGGCTCTGTTTCTAGTGTGGCCTTAAACTCACAGAGATCCAGACGGATCTCTGCTCCCGAATGATAGGATTAAGAGTGTGTGCCACCACTGTGTGACCTCTATCATTAACCTAGTGGCTGGCTCTGTCCTCTAGGCAAGTTTATTAGGGTACACAATATATCACCACAGAAATTACTTCTAAGACTCTTCACTGATACCAAAGTCCATGGCTGCTCACGTTCCTTGGAGAAAATGGCACAGTATTTGCATAGATTCCCCTATGTGCTTTCAATCATGTCTAGATTACTGTTAATGCCCAATACGGTAAAATTGCTATGTAAGTCACTGAAAACCTATAGATGTGTATTATAAATGCATTGTCTTAGTTGGAGTTTCCATTGCTGTGATAAAACAACATGACCAAAAGTAACTTGGGGAAAAAGGGCTTATTTCATCTTTCAGCTTGTAATCCATCATCCAGGGAAGTCAGGACAGGAACTTGGAGGTAGGAGCTAATGTAGAAATCATGGAGGAGTACGGCTTACTGTTTTGTTTTATTTGTTTTGTTTTCTCTCATGACTTGCTCAGCCTGCTTT